TCCGGTCGCTGTACTGAGAACTAATTTTATAACTTTCTTTTAGTTTCTCATAATATACAGCTTGTTAACAAAAACTCTTAAACAAATACAATTCAAATTACAATAATTCCTAAACCAAGTCTTGTCTTGAGATTTTGTGATATCTTCCGCCATTGACCGTTTTCAGCTTCAGCAGATTCTGCTTGGCAGAGCGGTTGGCATTGCGTTTGATAGATCTTTAATATCCAAAGTGGATATTTAAGATCTTGGAAGCAACACATCTCTCAAAATAAGAAGAAAGATAGAGAGAGAGTGTTGTTCCAGAGAAGGTGTATGGTCTAATACTGAAAAATACGGGATTTCCACCATAGACCTTCTCTACTGCCGAGATTCTCACCATAGACCTTAAAAGTCTTTTCTTCTCAATAGGCTTCTTCCATTGCCGTCTATGAGGGTGAGAAAGAAAAATTTCTCCATTGAGGGTATTTTTCTTGGTGTGTTCCTTAGACAGTGAGTTTGAGGACTTTTCATATTGAGGGAGTTGTTTGTGAAGGAAATGGATTGAGATATCTTGATTTAAAAAGGGGAGGAGGAGGTTCACGGGTTCCATTAAGTGGGTAGTTGGAATGGTGAGAGTAAATGAGTTTCATCTTCCAAGAAGTTGAAAAGCAGAAGGAATCTTTTACCAGTTACCAAGGAATTGAAACTGTTTTAATTAGAAAATCAGTTTCGATTGGTTTGAGAAACGTAATTGTTTTAGTTTGGCTAAGCCCAAAAGAGTGGCCCAAAAAGAACAGAAAGCTACATACTAAAGGGAAATTATTCCTATTGGGTTCTCAAGACCCAAAATAAGACTATCATTTTTCATTCCCTATAGTTCTAATTTCTACATAGGACGAGGTAGCACCAAAACAAATGTGAATATTTAAAAGAAAAGTGGTACTATTTTTCCAAAGTCCTGTACATTTTTAAACATCCTAGGGACCAGTACTTTTAGAGCTGGTTGGAAATGAATTAAGGACTGAAGCTTAGTTTAAGAAGACAGATTTTGTAAAGTACCTGAATCGGAGATTTCCAATTTTAGTACCAAGACTGAGATATCCATCTTCCATTGCTTTGAGCTTATCAATAATTCATTGCCAAAAATAATTGTTAGCCAAAACTAGTTAAGTTTCCCCCTGAATTACATTCCCCCTGAATGTATGCATAATTAAGCATAATAAGCGCAATTTAAAACCAATCAAGCAATGTTTAAACAAGAAGGTGTTTTCATAAAAACAAATTAGTGTTTTCACATACTTTCCCCCTGTTTTGATGTAAAGAACCTTCAGTGTCTCTTGCGCTTTGAAGATCCGGCAACTTCACTGATGCCCTTCATGTTCCCACACAGTTCTTTGATGCGTCTTAAATTTTCACGTCTTTCTTCTGATTGAGCATCATTTGAGAAGTGGTCAACAACTGTACCTATAACTTCTGTTCCATCCAGTCCTGAGCTGGATAGAAGTTGTGCTGAGTTTTCCGGATTTCTTTGCTGTGCTTCAAGGATTAGATTTGTCAAGTTCAGATGAGAAGGAATATAAGATACTTCTCTTTCTTTGATTGCAATAGGGAGCTGTGGTATTGGAGATGGACTGTGTTGTTGGAGAATTACTTCCATCTTGCGGTTTCCAGAGTTTGCACCAATAAGTCTGAACAGCTTGTATGCTTCCTTTTGATTGTCAATGATCACCTTCAAGTAATCTTTGGTTACTACCTGATTTGCAGAAGCTACTGCTAGGGCTGATCTGATGTCCATTTGGAGAAGGGACATCTGTTTTTGGAGACTAATTGTGACACTCGCTATTTG